TTATTATTAACTCGTCGAGTACCGGTTTTGTAGACACAATTATAGAACAATAGGTTGCGGTCACCGGTGACCGCTTGGTGTTTGACAGTTTAAACAACAATTTAATAGATAGAGTATTCAAAACAATTTTCTTTTGTTGATGAAAACTGTTCAAGGTGCTACCTTATTTATATTTGTTTTGATGTCAAATTAGATAAAACTTATCATCTTGAGTTATCTTAAACTATACAATCGATGTGTTGAACCAGTGTCACCTCTATGTACTAGGATATTATGCTACATAACAACTTTTCTATATTATCTTCTATATATATAAAAGAAAGTCGTGTTAGTTACACCACTTATAACTCTAGAACGGCAGAATAGATTTGGCTGAAAATTGGTAGGGAGGTAGCTTAGAGCCAGGAGACCGACATAGGATACTTTTTAACCAATACTTTTTTTTTAACTTTTTAGCGAAAATCACGAACGAGGACGGGAAAAAATGTGATTACGCGTACGAAGTCGCGGGCAGAAGCTAGTCTTAATATAGAAATGCAAACTAGGAACATACCTAATTAGTTAGATAATTAATATTTTATTGAAGTCCCTAATGATATAACTAACGTGTTTCTTCATGATACAAGATAAGGGGTTTGTTTATATTAATAGGGTAGTTGCCAGGGAATGAAAATTAAAAATCTAATTAGTCCGTCAGATAATAAAAAAATATTAGACACGTATTATTTTATTTTCTCATATAAAGTTACAATATTTAGATAAATTGGAGTTAAGTTTAGGAGTGAGAAATTGTTGCGTCACTAAGTGCTACAAAATGTAGCGTATTGTGACGTCACACGATATTTTAGATTATTAGGTATATCGTCGAAAGTATTTAATTTTGTGCGAAAATAAAAAAATTGTGTCTAATGTTTTAAACTAATCTACCAGACGGACATTAAAATAAAATTTAGGCAACTACCCTATTATATGCCATATCTATTTTTTATTTATTATTTAAGTGAGAATTAACGGTTGCATCATTTTTTGAATGCATTATTTATATTTGTTTCAAGGTTTTTGTTGCAGATTTATTAAATACATAAACGGTACTATTTATTTGATACGAAGTTCTGATTTGTAATGCACATCAAATCAATAGCCTTTGACAGTTGTCGGTCCACAGCTGGACTATTAGACCCCTCATCATATGAGAGAAGGACAACCGTGGTAGTGCGAATCAAACGGCATATTATAATAGACATTTTCCATTAATTAAATAGAATTTAATTTAGACTATCTATTAAGCAAGACTGCCTTGTTAACCGAGTGGTTGCAAGTGCTGCTGACGCGCAAGGGGTCTCGGGTTCAATTCTCGGATCGCGCAAAGTAATACTGGGATTTTAAAAACAAAAATTTTCAGTAGTAGCACGGAGTCTGCCATTGTGCCCGGTACATGGCAATAGGCTCACCCTCTATTACATGGGACTCGTAACAAAAATAGTAAAAACTGGGAGTTACATTGTACAGTGGCATTAAGTGCCGTAATCTGCACCTCTGCCTACCCCTTGGGGATAAAAAAGGCCTATGTATGGAACGTTATTTAATCACATAAAAGTATTGTATACAGTATAAATTTGACATTAAAGTATCCAAACATTTTAAATATTCAAAATGTTATGACTGCAACCAGTAATAGACTGACCGCGGCGCATAAATGTGAGCGTGCTAATTAATTATGTACCCCTCTGTCGCCGACAATGAAGCGTATGAACTACTACTCACTGTCCTGTCCATAACACAACATAACATCACGCCTTTTATCCCCGAAGGGGTACGCAGAGGTGCACATTATACCACTGTACAATGTAACACCCACTTTTCACTATTTATGTTATGAGTAATAGGGGGTGAGCCTATTGCCATATACCGGGCACAATTCCAGACTCCGTACGACTACTGAGAATTTTTTTAAAACCCCATTATACTTTGCCCGACCCGTGAATCGAACCCGAGACCCCTTGCCAGGCAGTCCCATTTGCGACCACTCGGCCAACGAGGCAGCCCTGTCTATCTACTAGTGAAAAGGATATTTATGATTTTGAAAAATTGTAATGTGTCGTAAACGAAAGTCACGCCACCCGACAAACGGAAATCGGGATAAATACGGGAGAATGTAGAATTCATAATTGGCAAACATTTGGCAGAGCACAGGTAATAATAAGCATTGTCGTCATGGAATCATTTTGAGTCATACATACATAATAATTATACAATGGAAGTGTTTAGAGTAATTGCTGCCAATAATATTCGTGACAACAGCTTGTTGGTAGGCGGGCCTTATTTATGATTTACACAACACGTGTAAAACTCATTGAAGAGAATCTTGGTGCAGAGTAGGTACTCTTAATGAGCTCATTAAGAGTACCTACTCTGCACCAAGATAGTAAGCTTACTAATACGATCGTATGGATTAATGTGATAGTAATTAAGAAAGTACGTACTAATTAGATTTGTATGTACTTTTTAGGCCCCATACGCAGTACCGGCGGTTTGGCCGCTTTTCTGGTTTAAGATGCAGCCGCGATACAATAGCTATGATAACCGTTTCAGACAATATGAACCACCTAGGCTGTCACCCGCTAGTGTGTAAGGGGGCTTAGCCTCAGTTCCGTAGATACCATAAGGTACCACTACTGGGGTTGATGGTGCTCTATAATTTCCACCTACCCCAAACTGACAAAGACGTGCGATTTTGTGTAAACATCCGAATGTTCGTGATCCCTGTCTCACGCTCTTTACATACGGTCTCACTAAAAGTCGTATGTTTTAATCATTCAATGTTATCATTACGATACGTGTGTGTCATTGAACTCAATACATCGTAGTATTTTCGATCTACTATACTAATTAAGTGTTCGACCAATTTGTCTGTAATTAATAATTATAACAGTAGTATGTAGTACAGAATTCTGTACTACATACTACTGTTATAATTTCACTACTTGATTAGTTAATTTGTTGGATTGAATTTTAAACTGGTAAAGAAATAGGACATACATACATCTTCGTCTTCCAGCCTCAAGGACTTTAGTACAAGTCTAGATTAGCTTCAAACAAAACTTAGGTACTATAGATATTTCATAATGTATAACACGTAAGTAGTATTTGATATGACACGTCTTGTTTGTGAACCTTCTGTGCCTTTTACTTGAGTATATAATAACAAGTGAACATCATGAATCGTTCTTGTAAAAGTTGTTTGATAAAGTCGATGAGTTATTTTTATTTCGTCTACAATAACTTGCTTCGTTATAATTAGCTAGGATACTGTGAAGAATAATGCAATATGGGGTTTATAGTTTAAGTAGTATTAAGCTGGAAGCAGACTTTTTCATCATCATCAGCCTAATGGCGGATTAGGAGAGTTACAGAATCTCACAATGTCTAGTATAGATATTTTACGGAGCGAAGGGCTTAACGGGATACCGGGGGCTCCGGTTCGAAGTGCAGAAGTAGGAACGGGTTGGTTTGTAGCAACAGACTGACACTCCCTCCCGCCTCACCCAAGCGGGAGAAGTAATTGGATGATTTCCCCCTCAAAAAAAGAGTCTAGATATTTTGCCCAGAGAGCTTTAGATTTCCCCCTGGTGTAAAACAAAAAGTATATTCTGTTTGCGAAATCTTACCTTCACACCCCCCACTGCTCCTCTTGGACTGGTTAAGTTTCTTATCAGCATATGCTAACCAGCGGTCTCCAAGCGCCAACGGGTTGATTGGCAAGCTGCCGCCCAAAGGACATGGGCAGGGGTAACAAGTAGTGACGGCCATTCGGTCTTCTAGAGTCGCAGCGTCGAATATCGCAAAACGTTCGGAAAACGACACCACCACTGATCGCTTGTTCGCCAACACATCGAGAATGGGGTTCTTGAATTTGATGCTTTTTACCTGTCGTGTGAGAAAGGAAAAGGGTCATTGGCGCACAGTTTGATGTACCAAAGGGCGTTTTCTTATTACAGCTGAAAGTTTCTTGTTTTTAGAGGGATGCCTCGTTGTCCCAGTGCCTTCGAGAAAGGGGTCTCAGATTTTCCTATTTGAGAAATTTTCCGTAACACCCTATAGTCTGGTAATGTGTCCGGATTAGAAATATTATATGGGACTAATAACATAACTGGTGAAAAGTGGTTCATAACATACATAACACGCCTTTTATCCCTGAAGGGGTAGGCAGAGGTGCACATAACGGCACTTAATGCCACTGTACAATGTAACACTCACTTTTCACAATTTATGTTATGAGTCCCATGTAATAGGGGTGAGCCTATTGCCATATACCGAGCACAATTATTATTCCAGACTGCGCTAATACATTGCCTGACCTGGGAATCGAAACCGAGATATTGGTGAAAAGTGGTTTATAGAGTGGAAATGTGCACTTCTGCCTACCTCCTTAAGGATGAAAAGCTATTTTCTTATATGCCAAAGACTACACCCACACCCACAGAAATTACTACATAATATTAAGCAAGTAGACTTAAGCCACGCCTTCAAAACGTCACATAATAAAGACCATTTTGTTTACAATTCGATAAAAACAATATCCAGTTTAATGGCCGAAAGTATAACGAGTAATCTGTTTCCCGCATGGAACTGAGTAAATGGTTATTATGTCTACAATCTACATAGTACATACATGATACGAAGCACACACGTGTAAGCTGGGTCAACAGAACTTATCTTTTCTATTATTATTCTTACTGAATATTAAACAGGAATAGCAGTGAGCCATGTAGGAATACATTTACTTTAAGTCTAAATGCTAGGTAAAGTTTGTTATTTTAGTTTTTTACCAATGTTGTCTTACAACAGGGCCTTATCTTGTGCGTTCATAAACACATATTTGGCGTACACAATACAGCCTCATTCAAAACAAGAATTTGATTTTTGTGCAATTAAATTGATGATACGTGTCAGCCCCGTATACGGAAGTATGGACGTACGGAGTTGGAGTGGTGGAGTTATAAGAGCATAGGTGGCATGACGCATGTATTACCTCAAGTGTTGCAGGCGTACATAGGCCACGGTAACCGCTTACCATCAGGTGGGCCGTGTGCTTTTTTGCCACCGTCGTGGTATAAAAAAAAAAGCTGGCCTTTAGAGGGGAGAGATTGGGCGTCCAATAACCACATCGTACAATTCTTTGTACAACCAAAATGATCAAATAAATGAAATTATTTAAACTCACCTGTTCACCACCTCTGATGGAAATGAAACTGAGTGAGCAAAAAGATGGACCGGGGCTGGCAGAATCACACAAGGCAATAAGGGGCCTCTTCGACGCGAAGCAGTCGCCGTGCTGCGGAGTAGGCAGTATACGGAGCACCCTCACTGTGCCTTGTCGCCATGACAACACCTCCTGGGCCTCCCCAGTAGGGGGTATCAGCCAGACTTGGACACCAGCTCCGTAGCCCAGGATTAGGAGCAACGGAGACTCATCATTGTCACTGTCGCCTTCAGGTGTTGGCTCGTTTATATCTGCTGTTTCAAACCTGTGTAAAAAAAAGTTTAATTTGATTCACTTTAAAAAAAAGTTTGTATTAGTATTGCAAATGCCTTAAAAATTGCCAGTTAGTAATAGTATGAATCTATAAGTAACTCATTGATCAATTCTATTATCAATTTAAATGATAATAATACTATGACCTTGACAATGACATGGTTCATGGTTCATCATCATTTTACATGCAATTTAGCAAATCATAATTATGTAAGGTAAGGTATTTATTATTATACAAATACATAAGGAATTGAAATAGCATCCATCTGCTTGCATTCCCTAGACAAATTAATGCAATCAATAGCCTATACAAGCCTATACAAAGAGCACTGGGAGTTCAAAATGAATTATTAATATTTACTTTTGTTTAAAATTTGTTATCTTCATTTCTTTGTTTAAAAAAACTATGTTGGATTACATACTTCTGAATCACACTCAAATGTCACAATATTTTACTACATAATGCAATTTTAAGTAATAAGTACATTGATTACAATATTTAAGACAAGTTTAGCGGGTATTTTCATAAAAACTCTGCTTAGAAATAACATTTTAGACTTTTTATAAAAAAATAAACCCTTATTTTTTATAGTTTATCTATAGGAATTAGTTAAGGAATATGAAGACTATTCCTCTTTTTTTTAAAGGAAAATGTACCAAAACGGGACCAATCAGGTTCACAGCTGAATAAAGACAAGTTATGCTGATCACCAGTTAACCCGTTGAAATCCATCCCCTAAATTTGGTCATACAAAAGTAGTCTCTAAACATTACAAATAAGGTCTATAATGTAATGTAATATTAGTGGAAAGCGGTCACCGGTGACCGCTTAGGGATTTATGGGTTAAGCTGTTCAAATTATTGATTCCAAAGTCAAATAAGATTAAAGGATTAA